TGCTTTTACCACAAAAACGAATTCCAGCTTGCCTTCCGGAGACGTGCCGCCGAGGTCTGACTGAGCTGCGGTACACCACCTCCACTACCATACCCGCTGAGCTTCTGGCCGGTCGACTACTCACAGTCTGAAGCAAAAAAAGAACAAGTTGGTACAAAAGCCGTCATGGGTCAGATTTCAGGTCCGTTCCAGAGTCAGGTCTCAACGACCGTTTTGTTTTCTGGAATGCGAGAAAGAGATGTTGGTAAGAGGAAGACTGCATCCGATTGGCAACAATGTGCTGATTTTATACTTGCCCTAATGGACTTTGTTCTGAGCTGAAACATGGGTGTTAGAAGTCAATGCTGAACAGACCAAGAAATATAATTAATCAAAAGTGCTCAAAGGTTTCAGGATACTAAATAAAGGGCTTTTATTTAACCGCTCGCAACAATAAATTAAAGTAGAGTACTTGGTTTACGTTGAGTTTATATAATAATGATCTTGAAATATAACTTACAACAATAGACCAATTTATACAACTTGCTTGTGCTTTGTGCTTCAGTCTGTTCTTACATCTCTCACAGTAGTGGTGTCAAATATGCCCTCTTCATTTATCATCATCCCACTTCCATTTCACTATCGGTTTTTTCCATTTGTCATTGAAATGATCAGCCCTTGCAGAGTTCTTCAAAATAAAAGACGCTCTTTGTCATAGTTACACAGCACATTCGCTTTTCGTTGCGCTGCCCACGATCAACTATCTAGTTAGTTGTTTACTATGGTCAGAAGACTGTACTGATTTAACACTTATAGTTCAAACAGCGACCTTCTCAGCTGTTACTGATCTCTCTTTCTTACTTTTTCTTCTCCCCCTCCTATTGATGGTCAATATGAAAAAAACCCACCACAAAATCAGTTACACTTCAGAAAGTCAGTGTGCGTCAATCTTTAAGTTTTAGGGGTTTTAAATTAAACAATGATCCAGCGCATTATTACCGCAATCTTCTTGACTGTGTCCCCATCTGCAATCGAAATTTTGGAAGAATATAAAAGTAAAAATGTAAAAAATGTAAATATGATATATGGAATTAAATATGGAAATAATGTTCATAATATTATTAGAATTCTTCCACCCTGAAGCGAAAAATTATTAAGCAACCTTTCCTCTGAAGATAAAGCTATTTTAAAGGAGGTTTTTACTAAGCCTGGAGATATAGGAGTGAAGAAGAGGTATCTATCAGGAATAAGCGATCGTTACATAATTTCAAATGCATTAGTGACCGATTCAAGATAGTTGCCACAATCAAAACAAAATCAGCTGCACTTGGAGAATCATTTGAGAAGTTCACGCTATGGTACAGGGAAGATTGCTGCACTTGGACCAGAAGCACGGTTACGTTCGTTTGATTTGAGGAAATATGTGACAGGGTCAAATATGCATATTTTTGTTTAGCTGGTGGATAGTAACAGGGATGTTCACAACAAACTTTGCGGATGTTAAGCTCGACCCCGCAGCTCTAAAAGATGCTGCTACAGGAATCATAAAAAAGTACAAGGCTCTTGCCGAAGGAGCCAAAGCTGAATTGAAAAAGCAGTTCCCTACTGTCACGGGAGATCTGACAGTACGTGCCATCATTCAAACATATTTTCATTTTTTAAGTCAAAGAATGCGATTTTTCAGAGGAATTCCTTAAATCATGGAGCAGAAATATTGATCATCCACTGCAAATTATGCTGATGAATGGTCATGGATTGTATTGT